CGCACTGCCAGGGCTGGGGTGGGGTCGCTGGGAGCTGGGCAGGRCGTTGCTTCACCTACGCAAAGCCTGGCCTGCCCCTCCCACCAGACACAGAGATTGGCATTACACCCCCAAAGTGTCTCGAGAGATTGATTTTATCCAGTCTCTGGCAATAGGAAATGTGAAAACTGTGGGAAAACGCCAGATTCTCAATTTTTAACCTTTCCCTCTTCAAATTATTCACAAAAATTCCTTGGCTAAAGAAGATCCCAAGCAATTCCAACCCAAGAAAGATTTCCAGGGATGATCCTTGGCATGTACCCAGCATGACATCTGCTAGGTCTCTCCACCTCTTGACAGCTCAGGGCACACTAAGAGGAGTTCTCTTGGGGTGGTGCCATGATGGTCAGGGAGGGGGGACCACAGGGGACCAAGACACCAGCCCACCTTGTCCAGCTTCATCTGTCCTAGGATAAAGGCAGACACGACATCCCAGATGGCCACCACCTCTGGAAAGTACAAAAAAGAGATGTCAGGGTGCACTCATGGAATTGTGGGGAGCTCTGTGGAGTGATAGAAGGGGCCGACAAAGACCCTGGACTGGACTGTGCCCCTGCTTCTGCATCCACCTGCTCCCTAAGAAGTGCTGAGGCACAAGCAGGGGTGTGGAAAGGGCTCAGAACCAGGRCTGTGGTCATCCAAACCCCAAAAAGAGATGGCAACTGAAAACCCAGCTGGCTCCTGAGAGCCCAGTAGGAGCTGCCAGGCCTCACATAAGAGCCAGTACCTCGAGAGGTCACAGCTCCCTTTGGAAGCTGGCCCTGGTCAGGGGGGACGTGCCGTGCCCATGGGACCCTCAGAGCAGCCCCTCCCTGAGCAGCAGCCCTCTGTCCAACCCTCCTCCTGGCCCTTGGGGGGCTCCCCAAATGCTCACCTTTGGTGGACAAATGCAGGAGTGTGGGGAACAAGCAACTCCGGTTCTTGCTGATGCTGATGGTGAAGCACCCTTCCATCCTGCTCCCCAAATTCCTCTCYGATCAGCCCCTGACCTGCCTGTCCCTGAGGGCCCTCCCATAGAAGCCCCCACGCCTAYCAGAACTACCCCCCAACCTGGCTGCAGGCTGTGCCCAGCAGCCCTCAATCATCACACTGGAGTGCACCCAGTGATGAGGGATGCCACCTTCYGAGGTCACTGGTGGCCTGGGGAGGTGCATTGTGATGTCAGCAGAAAGATGGCACCATGGAGGTGGGGGATGGGGATTGTGGAAGGAAGATCATGTCCTGGCCAACCTCAGGTGTTGCCAGGTGTCRGGAGGTATCACTGCTGCTGAGCTGGACTGAGTCCCTAGAGATAATCATAGCTAAAAATCAAAATAAATATATAAAAATAAAGATACATTAATAATATCTATTTAAAATTATGAAGAATCCATTTTCTGGGCTGTTTTTTGCTATGAAATATGATGGATTAAGCGTTTTATCCTGGTTCCCACTTTTCCAGGGGTTCTCTGGTTTGCTGAGTGTCCCCTCCTTGGCAGGTATTCGGCGCTGGAGGTGCTTTAGCTCCCCACCGTCCATCCCAACTCCCAAGAAAGCGGGTCACTGTGAGGTGGGGGAGGGCTGGAGCCCCTCTCCCCACAGAGAGGATGACATTTATGCCCAGAGAGGGAGCGATAGCCAGAACTAGAGGGGCCCTSCCTCAAGCCAAGAACAGKCCAGGGAAAATCAAATSTATTGGATAGTGTAGACCCAATAGCCTGGTACATTCCAACGACTAAAACACAAAGCTTTGGTTGACACTGGTGCACAATGTACTTTGATGCCATGAGGATCTGTGGGGGCAGAACATGTTTCCATCACTGCTGTCACTATTGGAAGTTGAAGTGAGGTTGACAGGAAAGTGGTGGAAGAATTGTGACGGGTCCAGAGGCCCCATTTTCTTCTTGGTACTGATTACCTCAGAAGTGGTTATTTCAAAGACCAAAAAGGACTTTGGTGGGCTTTTGGGACAGCTACTGTGGAGACAGAAGGCATTAGACAGTTAAACACCWTGTGTGGTCTCTCAGAGGCACCTCTTCTGCAGCAGGTACTGGTTGCCACCACAATGGTGCATTGTCAGCAATAGTGCATGAACCGAGACTCCATGATACCCATACATAAGAGGGTTGTGGAGAGCTCAGCAAGACTTGCTCACTCTTCACTAGCCCCATATGGCATGTGCRTTAAGGCCAGCGGAGGGTGGGTCGTGCCATTGTTCAGGAGTGAACTTCTAAAGCACTGGAAGGGGGAAGTCCTAATACTGACCCATGTCCTCCCACATTCCATGCCACTCCTGACTACACACCCTTGGGACAGATCTCTGTAAGCTGTTATAACATGCCTGAAGGAGGAAAAGGGGGTGAAAAGCTGGGGAAAATAATCCTTCCCTGTTTTCCCCACAGACTGGGTAYGATTATTAATTGACTCCCAGAAGCAGCACAAAAGGCAGGAGATGAACACTGAATACACACCCCAGTGGCCCTCATTGTCCCCAAA